TTCCTTTTCTATTTCTTTTATTTATTTTTTAATTCAATCTCCTTGTACTGCTGAATTCTAATTTTTTAAGGTGACTTACTTTGCCTTTCGTCCTCTTCTAGAGAAGGCAGGACCTGCACTGAAAAGCGCACCATTAAATTGTGGAGGGGACATGTTTCTGAAATCTTGATCACAAATTCAGGGTTCGTGGTGCAGGTCACCCTCTCCCCTCCCCCACGCTCCAAGCATCACGCAGGTGGGAACTAGGCCGGTGGTTTTGTTGACTGTCCACTCAGGCCGAGAAAGGCGGTTAGAAACGTCCCTAGGTAGAGGAATGTTCTCACATCAAGAGGCCTACCTACTTTCCCTGTACCCTGCCCCCTCTCACCACACACGCCACAGGGGATTTTTTGTGTCGGGGAGGCCAGGGCATTGACCTGTGTTATGCACACTGTTTGTACCGTTGCCCTGGACATTGGGTTGACAACTGAGCCACTGTCTTTCGCAACTAGCTTACCTGCTGAGTAATGGGCTGGCCGAGGGCCCTACTTGGCCTCCTTCCTGGAGCTCCTCCTCCTGGAGCCACAGACAACATTTTCTTTCTAAAAAGAAGCCGTGGTTCCGGTCAGAAACATGGAGTTTCTGACCGTCTAATCTTTTACAGGGACAAGGAAAGCCAATCCCACTGTCTTGGTTGGAAGATCACATGCGTTGCGGTACTTAAAACCCTTAGCTCAGAGCCTGGAATGTATCAGCTATATACAGTTCCTGTTAATTGAGCTGTATTTGACTTCATTCACAACAGTCGGCTGAACCCAAATTGAGGCCACAGAAAGATGTGTGGCTTCAACCGTAGGATCTGGGTCCATCCTGACCTGTAGCCTTGGAGTGTGTGTATCATGGTACATCCTCAGGGAGCAGGAATAGCTTTTTACACTCCTTGGGCTGGGAGAACAGACAAGAAGTGGCCAGGACGGGAGCATCCTTCCTCTTCCCACCTCCCTACTCCCCCTGAGTCCCAGCTCTAGCCACATCCTAGGGAAGAGCGTGGTGCAGATGGGGAAGTGTAGTTTCACAACAGCATCCGGGTCCCAGCAGCCGCGGAGCAGTCACTGCACCGCAAAACCTGGCCAGGCCTGAGAGAGTCAAGATGATGACTTCCTTGTGGTGTCTCCGTGGTGGCAAGAGGACAGGTCATTGGTGGTGAAAGGCACCCTTTCGCTCCTGAGGCCAAAGGGGAGGTCTCTGGATGAGAGAGCTCCCCTGTCCCGGCCTCCACACTGTACCTGCTATTCTGCAAGCAAGGATTCTTGGGAGCAGTTTTCATGGATTTGGGGGGCTCCTGTGTGATGTCACTGTTTCCTGAGCTATTGTCTTTCTTTCTTTGCCTGGGTAAATAGCAGGAGTGTGGTTCTGTGAAGCGCCAAACCCCAACCTGGTTTGTACCCAACCAGACAAGCTTTCACCAGACCCGGTCCTTCAGTAGTCCTAGCGTCCTGAGGGTCCTGGTCTCTGAAGCCTAGTGGGGCTGACTGAGCATGCCTTGGCCTCCATCCCCTGGGTTGGAACTCACAGGCAGGGCCTGTGGTGTCCTTAGTCAACTTACTCTGTAAGTTTCAGCTGAGGCTAATTTTGCTGGTTAGGGAATGCAGGCAAGAGGCCAAGGGCAGCAGTTGGCAGCGAGTAGAATCTTTGAAATTCAAAAGCGTAGTCACCACCCACGTCTTGCTTGTGAGCCAGGGGTCACTGGCCTGTACTGACCTGGCACAGTGTGTGGCTACCTGGGGCTGCAGGGTTAGCCAGCCCCGAGCCCCTCCCCTGCCCCCCATCTTCTGAGAACCCTGGCTCTGGGCACAGGAAGGGATTCTATTTCAGTCCCTACGGAGCGAGCGCGCAGTCCCCACGCCTTGCTGCCGGAATCACTTCCCCCAGCCAGCTCTGCTCCTTCTGAATGGGGTGGCTCATCACAACACCATATGCCAGTGCAGTTCACAATTTCCAAAGCCTGTTCAGGCCTGGGCTCTGGCGAGTTTTCATGGCCTCTGAGGTATATTGAGTAGGTAGTTTAATTCACACGCGTAGATGAGGCCAAACAGCGGCCCAGAGTAACTCAAGCAGCAAGGAAACTCTGTCCAGTCCAACTAAAGTGAGGTGGGGTCTCAGCCCCAGACTTCCTGCCCCGAGTCTGGCAACTGTCTGCGGTTTCTGCCCTGTCAGGGGTCCACAGCTGTTGGACGGAATGGCGGGACCCTGCCAACAGTTTCCCGTATTCTTTACAGAGGACATTGCTTCTGAAGAGTGCTACGCTGTGAACGCAAAGGATTTAAAACATTACTTTCTAGTCCCCAAGAGACTTCTCATCTCCACCCCTCCCATCACCTCCTCGAAGTCTGTATGACCTGTAACAACGTGAAGGGCAAGCCCATCATGCCTTGCTCCACTTCACCCTTGTGTGGTCTATCCTTCAGCCTGTAGGGCACATTCTAAGGCCTTGTCTCCAGGAGGACAGTCCAGCGTTTAAGAACTGGCAAAGCCTGCGAAAATGACTGTTGAGGATGAACACTGATGGTAATACTAAATGGGTTCTAAGCCTTCAACCACTCCAGCGTGGCGGGCTTTGCCCATGACTGCTGTCCTGGAAAAGCTGGTGAGAACCCTAAGGAAGGGCAGAGAACGTGGGATGAAGGCCCAGGGCAGCCCTGGGCATCTCCAGCCAGTGTGGAAGTACTCCAGGGCTCTTGCCCGAGCAGCCATACTATTGCACATCAGTTGCACACTGGCACAGTGATTTTGTTTAATCGTTCCTGGGGCACGGGGGAAGGTAGGACATGTTCTTTCCAACCAATAAAAAGAGTGAACTCAGAAGTCTTCATGAGGTTGCCCAGTGACCCATGTTGTCATGGTCGGGCTTTCTGCCAGCTGAAAGGGTGGAGCGTGAGGTACTCAAGGCCGGAGGCATTGGGCGGAGGAGATGAGAGAGAGTCCTGGGTGGCCAGGGGCACTGGGGTCTTCTTAGGTCCTACCAGAGGTCAAAGTGTGGTGTGCGGGGAAAGCAAGGGTGTGTGTGTGTTTATGGAAAGCTGGTGAGCACAGGGGACAGCCCGAGACAATGAGAACAAGCTGGCCCTCACCTACTAGACTTGGCCTGAACTAGTTCTGGGTGGTACCACGACACAATTTGCATGGTTTATGTGCCTCTTGCCTTTCTCTAAAGGCTGGCTTCTGGGGAACATACTCGCTCTTGGAGCATTATCTGTAGAATCTGGTATATTACCAATAGCTGTGCCCTGTTTTGTGAGAGCTGCTGCCGACTGATATTTCCCCCCAACCCTCTGCCACGCCCCTCCACTCTCCAGCTGGGGAGACTGCTTAGCTCAGTGGAGTGTAACGTGAGTAAGACAGAATGACATTGAAGTGGGCCTCTCCCTGGAACTAACATGGTTGAATAGAACACTCTGTTGGTAGCCTCCCAAATATGGGTCAACATTCACTCAGCACCCCAGGGACACCTGTCTACCTGGGGTCAGGCAGGATTCAGACCATCAGCTCCACTGGGAAATGTAGGCTTCTGTAGGTTGACGCCAAGCCTCAGCATCCTGGGGATAGGGAAACTTGTCTTATGGCAAACGTGTTCTAGGGGCTTGTCCCAGAGCTCAGCACAATGGCCCCTGCCTATAATCCCAGCTATTTGGGAGCCCAGTGGATGAGGACGGCAAGTTTGAGGTCAGTCTATACAACTTAGCGAGAGCTTAATTCAAAATAAACCTTAAACATGAGGTAGGGGAGGGTGGGGGCTGTGGCCCAGCAATAGAGTACTTGTGTAGTGCTCGAGGACCCTGGATCAAATCCTAACACTGAAGAAAACCAGATGGGTGAGGTATGGCATGTGGTATCCCAGAAAGGGCATTTGCATTGGGCTTGAGAAGTCTGAGGGATTTGGGGAGGGGCTTGGACACAGAGTTGTAAGAGCCTCTCAGCTCGGATCTTCTACAGACGCCAAAAAGGGCCAGGGGTGTGGCTGGTATAGACTTAGCCACCCTGTCCATGACTATGCCAGGGTCAAGTTCCCTCCGCTGTGTTTCTCTCCTGTCCTGCTCCTTCCTAGCAAAGGGTATTGGTAGATATGAATCTTGTCCCGGGTCCCACGTGACACATCAAATGACCAGCTGTGTAGGCTGGTCTTCAGAGCAGTCTTCATCTTGTCCTTTAAGAGAGACAGGGATACGCTTGTCGGGGATTTCCTGGACTCTTGGTGGAAGATGGCATTCTGGTGAGCGATTAGCAGTGGGGTGCAAATCCTAACCTCCCAGAGGCTCCTCTTTGCCTGTGCTCTTCCTCACTTATACCTCTGAGTCTGCCAACTTTGTGTCGGAGATGACCGGTCACATGACTCCTTTTTAAGACTGGGCTTGGCTAGCTTGCTTTTTCTGCCCAATGTTGTCTGCAGGCTCCAGGCAACCCTGGTGCTGGCTGGGGCCGGGTATCTCCAGAGTAAGAACTGAAATATATGACTGGCCACTGTCCTAAGAGAGGCAATTTTATTACCCTACATGTCCTGGAAATCCTGCCTCCAGTTCAGGCAGACTCTAGTCTTGGTTATTGCCAGACGGCAGTCTGTAGCCAGCCTTGGCTCCCTTCTGTGAGTGGCTAGGCTGTGAGTCATGAGGCAGTCTCTGGCCAGCAGCATGAGCTGGGCACTGAGGAGGAAGCATGCATCGTTCTAGGCCAGGGGAAAGGCAACAGGCCAGGGATGGTCACTGGTGCCCTGGACGTTGTGGTGGGTCCTGAAAGGTCAGAGCAATGGAGGAAGGTAAACCCAGGGAGCACAGGTCATTCAGCCAGTCCCTGCAGCAGAGGCCCTGCTGCCGACTGGTGGGCAGGGCCTGTAATATCAGACATTGTCTCAGGAAGGAAAGAACATGCTGGGTTCACATTTCCCTCTTATTTCAAGGAACAGTGAAGCCCAAATGCATAGTTCTTTCCCATCGTGCAAATCTCTCACTGAATGAGGGAGCCTCAGACACATTCTTCACATGGTTTATTGATGTCACAAACAAGGCATACTTTATTCTGATTTGAATTGGCCATTTGATTTGAAATGTTCTACACAAGGTAAACACTTCACCATGAAACATTTAAATTAAAGATAAATAAATGAGTCCTAGTCTATATATAAACCTGCAGGTGCCACACACACAGTTAAGGTATTAATTTTAAGTTAAATAAATCTAATTGTTGGAGACTCTAAGACCTGCTTGTTCCCTAACTTTGTTCTGGATTCCAACTTACCATGGTGTATAACACTGGCCCCCTAGTGACGAAGCAATTTGCTTCTGTCCAAATTGCCAGACTGTGTTTGGATCTGAGGGTCAGCTGATGAGAGGCAGAGGTGAAGAGCAGGAGACAGCAGGGTGAGAGCCTGGAAGTATGGGTTTTGACTTACCCCTGCCTTTGTCCAGTTCACCTAGAGGGTCAGAAACAGGAGAGCAGAGGCCACAGAAAACCAGGAAGGAGGAAGTATGAGACCTAACTCTTCCAACTCAAAGACACGGTGATTCTCAACACAATCGTAGGGTCAGTTTCACCACAGTGTTTCTGCCTTCTTTAAGAAAATTGGATTAATTTAGACCTCTTAATTAGGAAATAAAACTTCTGGGGCAGAATTCAAGCCAAAGATAGGAAATACGGAAGGTCTGTGTTCCTGATCACTCCACAAACACCTCTCGTCATTTTCTGCACTCGAATATCTCAGATTCCGTCTCCACACTGCCTCCAGGCAGCCTCTGCCTGTCCCTTGAGATGGAGATTCTTTGCTGAGCTCAGTTGTTCCTGATCCCTTTTTGTGTGTGTGTGTGTGAAGGAGCAGGTATAACAAACAAGGGCATTAAAGTTAAGTGACTTTGAACTAATCATTTAACCTTTTTGTGTGTGTGTGAAGGAGCAGGTATAACAAACAAGGGCATTAAAGTTAAGTGACTTTGAACTAATCGTTTAACCTTTTTGAACTGATAACTTCTTCTACAGTGGGTAAGTTCACCTAACAGTTAGAAAGAATAGAGTACTTCATGTGACAGGTTTGGCACATGGTGGGTAGGCATTTAACAAGGGATAGCTATGGTTACCATTGTTTCTTATATGACCATTGTAAATGATAGTGAATGTTAGTTTGAGCCCCAGGAAATAGATTTTCAGTTGTTTTCAACCTAAGAAATGGCAATTTCTTTTGGTTTCATCTAATGCATAATCTCTCTCTCTCTCTCTCTCTCTCTCTCTCTCTCTCTCTCTCTCTCTGTGTGTGTGTGTGTGTGTGTGTGTGTGTGTGTGTGTGTGTTGTTTTTGAGACAGAGTCTTGCTAAGCTGTCCAGGTGTGTTTCAAACATTTGATCCTCCTGCCTGACCCTCTTGGGAAGCTGGGATCCCCTCCTCTGCTACCATGCTCATCATACTGATGCATAATGATGTCATTCAAATCACGTTTTAGTTCCACCTTTATCAGAGTCTTCTCTCCATTTAAAAACTACCTTAAATCAGTTATTAGAGAGAAGCTAAGACCTGGTGACAGTCCCACACCCTGCTGTCTAGTCACATGACACCCAGAGACCCCAGTCTCCCCATCTGTAAGCTGGGAACAACCGTGTTTTCTTAACAGCGGTTTCACGAAGGTAAAGACAACAAATGAGAAAACACTCCCGGGGTTGACAGCATTGCACAAAGTTCGTCAATTGCGCCGCTTCACAAAATACAAGACCCTAAAATTAACATGGAAGTTCTAAGTGCTTTTCTATAGAAAAACCACACATGAGATAACGCATGCCGCCATGCCCATGGTTAGCAAAGCAGAGATGATGCTGTTAAGTAGCTATTAGAACAAAGCAAAGACAAAGTGCTTTGTATCTCACCAAGGCAAAAGAAGCACAAGATGGGGAAAGTAAGAACTGTTGTGTTAGGAGTAGCTTAGAACCAAGCTTTTACATTTACACCAGAAATAACTTGCAAAGGAGACAGAGCAACTGCCTTCTGTTTTCCTTGAAGGGCTTTCAAAGGGGCCAAGAAGGTTTGCTTTTGGTATGGTTCCTCTAAAGATAGGCGTACAGCCTTTATAACATCGCAACAAGACTTTAGACCAATGACTTTAGCAGTTTTAGGGGAACGGCTTTCCTGCCTTCCCAGGACGTTACTTTCGTTACTTTTCGTGTCCCATACCAGAGCGTGAGGAGGGTGATGTTTTTGGACTAGCAACCAGCAGAGGGGAGGGTGGCTCAGTCCCAATCCTCAAGTCTTCTTTCCTTCTGTGACCCTTGGCCAATGTAAGTCACCTTTAGTCGGCTTCAAAGGCGCTGTTGGTGGCCCCCACATACTCAGACTTCCTCTTCTGCCTGGTCCACATTTTCCGTAGGATGCCAGGGACACCGCAGGAAGCACTGCCTGTTAGTGGCAGGGAGGCTTCGGCTCCCTGGGGAAGGGTTGGGTACTCTTCTGTTATCTTCTTGAGGTGTCTGGATCTAAACAAAAACCAGAGTGGGGTGGGGATGGAGTGGGCATGGTGAACAGTGCACTGAGTCAGAGTTAATCTGTAACTTTGAGAAGAGTGTCAGCCAGAGTTCTCTCCCTCTCCATTCTGTGACCATAATCTGCATAGCTAGAGGGTCACTGTAGGACACCCATGGGAATGCCCCCTGGGGTGACACTCTAATGGAGCTAGAAGAGGTGACTGTGATCACAGTGGATCGTGGGGTCTGGGGTCCTGTCCTCTTGTTTTGAGTCTTGCTTGCCTAACCAGTGAGAGTAACTGAGGAGTGGTGGTAGCCCAGGTGAGCAGAGCAGACTCAGGAGAGTCCTTGCCCAGCTTGGATGAGGTCTGGATTTGGTCTCCAGCATAGAGATGGGCAGGTGAGCTGAGGGATGGGGTGGCGAGGTTTAGAGAAGCAGGTGCAGCACTGTGGACTGGAAAGTTGACTTCTGTCAAGGCATGGTGTAGTCTTCCTGATCTACCCGAGCAGTCGACAACAGCTACTGTCCCTCAGAAAAGTTTGCTAAAATATGAAATCCAAGCCAAATGGGTTAAACATACAAACCCAGCTAAATTTCAGTGAATCAAATGACACAGAACTTGTTTTTTTTCTTTTTTTTACCAATTCTTTCCAGGGGAATTTTGACTTGCAGAAGTGCTCCATCCGGTGGGGGTCTCACTCTAACTCCCATGGCTTTATTTCCTTTATTTAATATTTGTTATGGTTTGATTGTGGTTGCTTTTCTACAGCTTGTCTTGAAACCTTATCTCCATTTTAAGATATTAAGAGATAGGACCAGAGATCACCCTTGTGTCCTCAGCACGTGGGAGGCAGAAGCAGGAGATCTCAAGTTCTAAGCTAGTCCGGACCATACACTAAGACCCTGCCTAAAATCAAACAAGGGCAGCAGCTACAGTCAGTGGTGGAGTATTTGCCACACATGTGCAAGCCTGGGTTCTAGTCTTAGCACCCAAGTTAAAAAAGGTAAGATAAGGTTAGGGTTTTTTGATTACAGTTTTGCCTTATGAATGGGTTAACTGACTCTTGGGTTAATAGGTTATCTCAAGAGTGGGTCTGCCATAAAAGCCAGTTTGAGTATAACTCTCCAATGTTTTCCCCATCTTCGGTTGTGCAAATGTCCTGTATGATCTCTGGGCTCTGTCCACAGAGAGCCCATCTTTGAGTATAGTCCATTGGTACTGGATCACACCCAAATAACTCTCTATTCTTTATAATGTACCAGTCTGCAGTATTTTGTAATGAACAAAAGAAAGTGGATTATGTTGTTTCTTTAAGATTTATTATGTATAGAGTGTTATGCCTGCATGTCTGAATAGGGCACCAGATCTCATTACAGATGGTTGTGAGCCACCATGTGGTTGCTGGGAATTGAACTCAGGACCTCTAGAAGAGTGGCTAGTGGTCTTAGCCTCTTAGTTACCTTGCTAACCTTTAATATGTTGTTTTAGCCTGTGCCCCTTCGTGTGTGTGCTGAGCATCTCATCAAAGTACTGCTTCCCAGTCACTTAGAAGTTTAAAATTAGACATTAGCAGAATCATCAGAAAGAAGGGAACCTTGATTGAGAATATGACTCCATAAGATCTGGCTGTGGTGTATTTTTCTCATTTAGTGATTAATGGGGGAGGACCCAGCCCATTGTGGGTGGTGCCATCACTGGGCTCGTGGTCCCGGGTTCTGTAAGAAAGTAGGTTGAGCAAGCTATAATGTGCAAGTCAGCAAGCAACATTCCTCCATGGCCTCTGCATCAGCTCCTGCCTCCAGGCTTCAGCCTTGCTTGAGGCTCTGTCCTGACTTCCTTCAGCTTTGGACTGCAATGTGGAAGCATAAGCCAAACAAACCCTTTCCTCTCCAAATTGCTTTTGATCATGGTGTTTGATCATAGCAATAGAAACCCTAACTAAACACTCTCAATACATGATCTATGCCTGCTTTCCACTCTGTTTCTTTTTAGACAACATGTCATGTATTCCAGGTTGAACTTAAACTCATAATGGCTGTCAAGATGACCTTGAAGTTCTGGTCCTCCTTCTTCTGTCTCCCTAGAGCTGAAATCAAAGGTGTGCACCACCATGTAGGGTTTCTCTCTCTCTCTCTCTCTCTCTCTCTCTCTCTCTGTCTCTCTCTCTCTCTTCTTTCTTTCCTTTATGTGTGTGTATTTTGAAACATTTCCAGGCATGGTTTTGAACTCTTTGCCACTGCCTTCTGATGCTGGGATTACAGGCGTGCATCATCACATCCGGCCCTACATTTGATTTCACCTAATCTCTATGATATCCACTTTTCTCTTGCTTGTGTATATGGATTTTTGGTTATAGACAAGGTCCCACTAAGCACCTCAAGCTGGCCTCAAACTCTAGGCCCTTTGTCCCTATCTCTCAAGTACCAGGATTACAGGCATGCAGCACCATGTACAACTATGGCTTTTTATTTTTGTTTTTATTGAGCTATATATTTTTCCTACTCCCCTTCCTTCCTCCCTTCTCCCCTTCCACCCTCCCCCTCACCATCTGCACTCTCTGATCTCTGGAGCTGTGGACTGTAGTCTAGTTATTGTTTGCTTCGCTTTATCTCTTCTATCCACTTATGAGTGAGTACTGGAAGTCCAATGTGCAATGTTTTAGGACTTATTCTATTGTTTTAATTGTACATGTGCATGTTCGTATGAGTCTCTGTGTACACATGTGTGGAGATGCCCTTGGAGGCCAGAGGCATTGGATACCCTTGGAGCTGAACTCCCCAGGGGTTATGAGCAGCCTGGCCTGGGTGCTGTCAATCAAACTTGGGTCTTCTACAGGAGCAGTGCCTACCCTTCATCGCTGAGCCATCTATCTGGCCTCCCTGTTTTTAAATAGATGAGAATAAAATGCTTGAAGTCAGTGTGAGTACCAGGCTAGAAAGCAGAGCTGAGTCAAAAGCCTTCATTTTTCATCATTCCCTTAAGCCCTTGCCATAACCTGCAATGTGGAAGGCTGTTACTGAGGCATAAAAGTCCATGCTGAGCTGCTCACTCTGGTTGTCTTACTACACTGAAGGCCTTTGGGGTACTGTGGGCTGACTCTATCAGGTGGCATTAACAGGGGCCATGGCTACGGTTTCTTTTAAAACCTGGACTTTGTGCGTTTGTTTGTTTTGTTTTTGCAGCAGCTCTGGAGATGAGAGCCAGGACCTTCTGCAAGCTAGGCAGATGCTGGACCGCAGAGCTGCGTTCTCCCCCTGAAAACCATGCGAGCCATTTCTGTACCTGTGGGTGAGAGTCCCTAAGAGAACGCACGAGGCATTTCTGACACCATCTATGGAGGTTCTGGATATGGCACCTGGTTATATTCATCTAATTAAACAAAGCCCCGCAAGTAGCGCTAATGAAGCGGAAGCCGCGAAAAGTACTGTAACCTAATCCTAGGCGAGCAGTTGATGCGTCTGTAGCGGGACTCATGATTGCAGGCCGCATTCCAAGGTAATTACAGCAGGCAGGGGTTTCTTGGGTGTATTAGGTGTGAGAAATGTTGGCCACCTGTCTCCCTCCCCCGTGACCGGGATGGGCGGAGAGCCGTGCAGGCAGTGTAGCTGGAAGGCACAATACTTACCCTCTTCCCAGAACAGCTCCTTTTTCGGAGCCCTTGGCGGTCACCTCTACCACAGCTGGAGCCTTCACTGAGATCCGGGCCACCGGAGAAATCTGTGTTTTAAGGAAGTGGGGAAAGGGTTGAGGATGGTGCCACATTCCCACTCTGGCCCTTATTGGAGCCCTTTGTAAGAGGGCTGCCTTTAGGTACCATCTCCAACCTGGGCAACAGCCCTCGGTCAGTCAGCATCAGACATGCTGGAGAGCTTCTAAAGATAGTGCTGGAACCACACAGTATCTGGTTTAGCAGGACGCTGCCTGAGTTGCTGCGTTGAACAAGGTCTGTGAAACTGTTGGTTCTGGGACTCTACGAACCACTGGCCTAGAGACATGTGAGAGAGAGAGCCATTCAGTCTTCCAAGGGAACTGTCCCCCACCCTCCCACCTCCTCTGCTGCTGTCTGATCATCAGTCCTGCAGGGTCTTTCTTCGACCACGCTGCCCACACCAGCACCAGCCTTCCCATTTCTTTCGCGGACCTTTCAAAGGACTGTCTACTCAGGTCCCGTTTGTGCCCGGGGCCAGCTACACTCTCCATGTCCGGCTTGGGCTCTAGAACCCTCAGGAGTCCCCATCTCAACCCCTCAGCATGAGAGACTAAGGCCAACTCGCATCCTGCTCCTTGAGGCCTTGCAAGGCTGACTTGCTGCTTGGCCTTTCCAAACTATGAGTCAGCAGAATCCAGGGCCCCTTGTAGCAGGCTCCCTGCCGTGTCCCCTGTTGACCCACAGCTCTGTCTCCGTGTATCTCTGCATCAGGGCCTCGTTTCTATCAACCTTCCGAGTACACTTCCACCAGGTCCTCCTGAGGCTGCTGGCCATGTTCATCTTTCTCTACCCCAGTGTCCCCCCCCCCCCCCCCAGCACTGTAAAAACTATGTGACTGATTGTACTTTCTCACTTTGTCTTTTTCCTGTGGTTCTCTAGTTACTACCCTGGTCCCCGGAGAGACCGACTGCATGACCAGTCGGGGAGACTCTGAGACTGAGCCCTTGCCAGCCCTGCCAAAGGCCCTGCCCTGAACTGACAATCAGCTGATGTCATGGGGCTAAGTCCAGGGGTTGCCCCATCAAGGGACACACACTTTGCTTTGTTCTCTGTCCCAGGTCTCAACAAAGTGTCAAGTCACCACATTTACTGAAACCTCTGGAAAAATTCCAGGTCAAGGACACCACCATTTACCACCTCTCTGCTGTGGCAGGGCAGGCTGAGGGCAGAGTTACTGTACCAGCTTGTGGCGCCCCCTAGCTATTCCTCCCTGTCCTGCATCATGCGGATGTTCAGCTAAAGCTGACGTGAGCCTCCTTCCCACCCCTTCCCCTATATCTTTAGTCACCTCTCATCCGTGTCAGCCCTGAATCGGGCTTAGATGGGCAGGCTCTAGTTCGCTCTCCTGCATTGTGCTTGAGCATCCGAGGAGGGATGGGGCAGAGCTGCACTCCTCTCAGGCCCAGGGATATGCTGCTCTGCCTCCTCATCTTCAGCAGCACCTGCCACTATCCCAGCTGTCTTTGGTCCCTTGCTACAGCTGCACATCTGCCAAGGGCAGCGTCTAAGTCAACCTGGAGGCCCGGGAGCGGGAATTCCAGGCTGCTAAACATTCTTTTCTCCTTAACCTTGACCGTTTTTAGGCACGGTCAAGCCTGTCTTCCTTCCCTCTGCCAGCTGCCTAGCCACCCTGTTTGCTGAGCACGAGGTTGGAAAGAGGACTCTTCCTTGACCACAGTTTCTCTCCTCTCCACCCTTTGTTCTTCCAATACAGTGACCTTACTGAAACTCTCAGATTGGATCTCCTGCCCAGAGCATAAATATCCATCTCTTTCCAGTTTGTTCCAGAAGGATGAGGGGCTGGCCCAGTTAGCTCTGGCTTCTCTTGGAGTTGATAGTAGCTACTGTAAGGGCCTAGGATGTCTGAGATGATCTCCCCTCCACTCAGCCCTGACTCTGTTAACTGAGAGAAAACCCCACACTCAACCCTTGGAGACTACAAAGGAGATGAGAAGATAGATCTGGGGCCATGCCCCTAAGCCCGCTTTAAGAAAGGACAAACTAGCCAGGCAGTGGTGGTACACGCCTTTAATCCCAGCACTTGGGAGGCAGAGGCAGGCGGATCTCAAAGAGTTCAAGACCAGCCTGGTCTACAAGAGCTAGTTCCAGGACAGGCTCCAAAGCTGCAGAGAAATGCTGTCTTGAAAACAAACAAACAAACAAATGGAAGGTCAAACTGTTCAGCTCCAGGGTGGGCAAAGGGTAGGCGAGTATCCTTGCTCAGAGTCCCGTGCTTGCTGAGACAGCCCACAGGCCCTGACAGAGGGAGGGAGGAAGACAAAAGTTGACCCATTTGGGCCCAGTCGAGACCTATCTATGTAGGCAACTCGCACTCTAGATCCTACACTTGAAGGTGCTAAGCCTGGATCATGGTTCAGTTGCTCCCTCCACACAAGCTACTGCTCTACACCTCAGTCCTCATCCCAGCGAGCCTGTCCGTAAGGGTGCTCTGAGATGCACCTTGCCCTCAAATGACTGGTTGTTGTGGACTGAAAGTCTGTGCATGACTCAAACTCATCTGTTAAGGTCCTCCCTACCCCCGAGTGTGATGGTGTACAGCGTGGAGCCTCCAGGCAGATGATGATGTGGAACATCTATGATACGATTAGTGCCCTCGGAAGAAGACAGAGAGTTCAGCAATGCCTCTGTTGTATGCACAGAAAACACTTAGCATGAACCCATGCAACTGTATGGCAAGAAAGCCCTCCCCAGACAGCCAGTCTGTGTGTCCTGGATCTTGGACTCCCCGGTCTCTAAAAGAGAACCATGTTTCAGTGTCCTAGTCTATGGTATCAGCCAGGCTGATGGAGTCGCTGGTGTTCTGTGCTCCCATGGTGCTGGGCCCCTCTGAGTGTGGGAGAACTTTAGATGACTTTAGCCCAGAGCTGTGCCTGGGAATTAGTCAGGCATTGCTGCCTGGCCAGACCTCAGAGTTCTCCCTGCAAGCATGAGATGCTAGCAAGTTGCAGCTTCTGTTTGCATGTGAACTGAGTTCCTGTTGAGAAAGAGAAGCGGCTAGTGGCGTGTCCTAAGTCCACAGAGTGGCGTCAGTGGCTGGTTCTGAGAGCAAAGAACCACAGGGCTGCTTACCTAACGATTCTCAGCCCAGAGCAAAGGACACCAGCTCCCGTTCTGGCACCGGAAAAACATTTCAAGACATCTCAGGCACGGCAGATACAGCGAGTCTGACTGACTTACTTACCAATGATTTTCCATATGCTCGGTTCCCACACAGATTCGAAGCTTTGGGCTCAGGGATGCCCGCTGTGAAATTGAACAGAAGAGGTATTACTCAGTTGTACTCTTGAGTTCTGCCTCCCTCTGTTTCTGAATCAATTATCTCGCTAGCCGTCAGTCATACAGGGACTTTCTCAGGGTCTTCGTACCAAGTGACAAAGCACTGCAGGGCTGGCCAGGCAATGCTAACTGCTGAGTGGGGTCACCCCTACCCCTGCCACTCTTCCAGGAAATGGAACTAAGGTCAATGTAGTTCAACGACCGTGATAAGCATGCCATTGCAGTGGGGATGCTTGGAGTGGAGGAGGCTGCACGCGTGCAGGCAGAAGGCAGAGCTAGGGAATCTGTGTACTTTCAGCTCCGTTTTGCTGTGACCCTCAAACTGCTTGGGAAAAAGTAAGTCAATGGAACAAGAACATTTAGCACTGCGTCTGCATGCATTAGGTGCTCACAGAGTGTGGTCTCAGCACTTCCTCCTTTCCTGAGCTCTCAGCTCACAAGAAATTAGTTCAAGGAATGAGACCATTATTATGGTGTTTTCATGCATACTTGGTTCTTACTGGTGCTCCCCCACTTCCCTCCCCAGTCCTCTCTCTCTTCCCGCTGGTCTCCTCCCTTCCCTGAGCCCAGTCTTATCTGCTTCCACCTCACAAGTATTTTCTTATCCTCCCCCGTCCCAGATCTCTCCTTTCCCTCTCATGCCCTCTTTTCTAATTCCATCATACACCTGCCTATATAAAATAAATCTTAGGATCTCAGAGATGGCTCAGTTGGTAAAAGCACCTGCAATGCAGACCTGATGGCCTGAGTCTGGGAGTCAGGAACCCATGTGATACTGAAGGTCTGTGAATTTTGTAGGCAGCCTTAGACTGAATGACCAAAGATCAAGCAAACAATGTTTAACCATAGCAACTGAGTTTAAATGGTTATCTACGGCTTGCTGACTAGTTGGGCTGGACACTAGTTAAATGGGAACCAACTGACTGGTTGATTGACTGGGTTGTAGCCAAGTAAATTGTTTTCCGTACTGTTGTAGATTCTGCTTTGTTTCCTGTAGACACTGCCTGCCAGTTGGTAGTGGTTACAGCGAGGAACCTGCTCCGGGAGTCACCTAGTTCATGATTCTTTTTTTCCTATGACTTTACACAAAAGCACACACTACTAAACTCAGTTGGACTAGGAGAATGCCCTTTTAACCCTACCAAGACCAGACCACAGCGAGCGGTGCCCTTGAATTAGCAGGAGCAGCAGCTCACTTTCAAAGGATGCCAGGCCTTGTGCTGAGTGTAAACTGCGTGAAAGTTTACATTACTACCTGCAGGTCCCACATACATTGCTAAGAAATATTTTAAAATATTGCATTTGCAGAGCTGAGAATGTAGTCCAGTGGCAGAGGGCTTGCCCCGCACAGGAAAGACCGTGGCTTCCATCCCCAGCACCGAGCCAACAACGTGATGAAGTTGCATTGTGTAGCAAAGCATGCTAACGCATACATGTAATCCGAGCCATGGGAAGCAGGAGTTCAAAGACAAGTGAATCTGAGGCACAACTTGGATCATGAGAGCCTGTGTTTAAAAACAAAACAAGATAACCAACCTTGAACTGAACAAGCACATACTTATTCTCCTGGTTTTCCTACCCTAAACAATACAGCATAGCTAGTGGTTTCAGAATATTTGTATCATATGAGGTATTTAAATAACCATCTGTAGATGATTCAAAGTGGAGAGAAAGACAGATGTGTATAGGTTACATGCAATTACTACTCCATTCTACATAAGCATGGTGGTGTTTGGCATCTTGAGTGGGTCCTGGAGCCAACTGTGCCTGACCTGGAGACAGCTGCATCTCATTTAATTTTTCCTGTCACCTTAAGAGGGAGGACGCTCATGGTCGGCATATTTCAGTTGGGGGAAGCAAGGCTTTAGTGATGCATAACCACTCATCTGAAGGCAGATGTGGTGGGTGAGATGTCTCCTATGTTCTCAGGCGTTTGAATCCTTGGTCTCCAGTTGGTGTACCTAGTTGTGTAGGCTGAGAAGGTGTGGCCTTGCTGGATGAGGCCTATCACTGGGGTCCGGCTCTGAGAGTTTAAAGACTTGTGCAGTGTCAAGTTCACTCTGCTTCCTGTTTTTAGCTTGAGATGTGAGCTCTTAGCTGCTGTTCCAGGCACCATGTTTGCGGTCTGCGGCCACGCCATCCTTGTCAGTACAGTCACTAGCCTTCTGGAATCGTACACCTAAAATGAACCCTTCCTTGTGTAAGCTGCCTTGGTCGTGGTGTTCTATTGCAGTAATCGAAAGGCACCAAAGCAGTAGGTAAAGATGGTTTAAAGATGGTTTCAGGAAGTGTTAGCCTCTTGTAGACCTGGGGAAGCTTGGTCAAGGGATAGCATCTCCCAACTCAGGAGGAGGTGGAGCTTTACACCCAGAGAGGGGAAGAACAATAGTGAAGGTTCAAGGAAACAGAATGGAAGGGGCCCGTCAGGGAATTACCCCTCACAGCTCAGGGTTGTTCTACCTCACGGAATGGTAAGGACAGGAGTGTCACAGGAGGTGGCCATGGAACTCATTCTGACTTGGAGAAACTTTGTAGGGAGGGCTTGGGGGCGGAGGCCTTTCACTGGCTTTGTCTCCATCTGTGAGATGCTGGGGGTCTGAGCCGGGAAGCTTGAGGTAGGTTACAAAAGTGTCAAGGCAAGAGCTCTCTGGGGTGACACTGTCGGGTTAGTGTATAAAGTGGGAAGGGTGACACAGAAGAATTAGGGAAGAAACGGGAGACTTTCTGGAAAGCTGGACAGTCATTCCTGATAAAAGATCACACCTTGTAGCCTGTTTAGATAAGCTGGCCATCTCAGGGAAAAAGCCCTACAAACAGTTTCCTAGGCCCAGGACCTGGGCACGGTCCCTTTCCGGCACTGAAGACCTTATGGTGAGAATATTTTAGTTGGTTCTATCCCCACGATCTCCAAGTTTCCTCACCTTGCCCTGACCTGAGAAATCTGCAGCCACCAAGACCTTATCCCACAGTTCAGAGAAAGAGCAAGCCCCTAGCACTGAGGTCCCCGGAGACAGGCAGCATCCTGGCAGAAGGAAGTAAGAATTGATACCCAGGGACCATTGCCTCGCCTTTCCTTGGAGAGCATCGGGGTTGGCTTCGGCTCAGCAACACTCCCTCCTACCCATCCTGAATCTATCAGATTGGAGGTGCTGAGGGAATTGAATCAATGCCCAGCTGAATCTATTTTTTTCCATCCGAACCTGACTAGCACACCCCTGCAGGAACTGACTGTCATGTGTCGGGCAGACTCTCCGTTTCATAACTTACTGCTCTTGTCTTTCAGAATAAAAGACTGACTTGGGCAGTCCAAGATGACAGCAACTACCTACAAAGTTATAACAGCAGGTAAGCATGGCAGTGCACTCATAATCCTGGCTCTTGGGATGCTGAGGCAGGAGGACCATGAGTTTGAATTCAGCTTGGGTTTCACTATGAAATACCGTCTTTTAAAGACTACAAAAGTGATGCTTAAAGCTAGACAAGGGAAGTGGTGCTGACCAGAACATAAGAAGATTGGAAATTGCTGGCTCTGTGGCTGCCAAGGAATGTCACCTTGCACGGGTCAAACAATTTCTATAGCATTGGTTTTGCTGTTCTGTGAATTGGAGAAGGGTGACTGCAGAGGTCAAATGGAATGTTAGAAAGGTCACATCTACCTGACCTTGGTTCTCTCTCTCTCTCTCTCTCTCTCTCTCTCTCTCTCTCTCTCTCGTGTGTGTGTGTGTGTGTGTGTGTGTGTGTGTGTGTGTAAAACACAGATTGCTATGCCTTAACCCTGGAATTTCTAGTCAAATAAAATGTGTCTTTCCAACATATTTCGGGTGCTGCTCCTGTGGCCCCACTTTGGATATCTCTGTAGTAGCTTCTCTCTAAAACCTTGCTGCTCAATCTGTTGACCCTGAAGCCACAAAAGCAGCACCACCTGGGTGTGTCAGTAATGAAGCCTCGGGATCCATAGGTGGACTAGCGTCCTTCTGAATTCAACCCTACATCAGGGAAAGGCCTCTCGTTGATAAGTGTGTACACAGTAATTCAAGAGGTATGGCTTTTAAATTGACTTTATGATTTTTGGAGCAAAGAGGAATATTCTGCCTATTTTTTCTTTCCACACACGCTCACCCTCCCACTCACCTATACATAGACGCAGAGAAGAATCTATCTCCTCTAATTTGCAAGGCAGATTGTGGCTTTTCTAATGCTTCCATTCTGTTTACATGTGTGCAATCGAACTTAACTGAGGGCCTCGCTTGGTTTATGTGATCTTGTACTGTCGATCATGAGTGCAGGGTGAGACAAAGAAACCTAGTCTGACACCTAAGAAAAGCAACAACTGAAACAAACAACAACAAAACTTGGAAGAAAACATCAACAAAGAAGGGGCCTGGAATGGGAAAAGATGAAGGAACGCAGTCAATAGAGATTCATGTCAGGTCCTGTAAAATACAAAACTGTTAATGCCCAAAGCTTTGACAACATTTTGGATTTTCTTTGTGTGTGTGTGTGTGTGTGTGTGTGTGTGTATACAGGTGTGTGTTCATATCAGTGTGTGTGGATGCATAAAATGAAGGGGGTGCATGTGGAAGCCAGAAGTTAACCTTAGGTGTCATTTATCTTGTTTTTGAGACAGTCTTTCCTTGAGATCTGAGGCTTGCCCATTAGGCCGACCGGGGAGCTCCTGGGGTTCTCCTGCCTCTGCCTCCCCATCACAGAATTACACTCACACTGCACACCCTGCACAGGGTTGTGCTCACACTTGCACACCCTGCACGGGATTACGCGCGCGCGCGCACACACACACACACACAAACACACACACACACACACACACTGCACACCCACTTTGTATGTTAGACTCTAGCCCTAATGTTTGTGTCACAAAACTTTAACAACTGAGCTATCACCCTAGCTCCTGGTTTTTGAGGTAGGATCTCCTCAAGCCTAGGCTGACCTTAAACTCATGACAGTCTGCCTGCCTCAGCTCTCAAATGCTGAGGTTACAAGTGTAACCTCAACTATGTATTTTTGGAATTAAAACATGAGTTTTCCACTGATGGGAGAACAGAAAAAAGTCTAAACTATCACTTAGAAAGTACTATTAGAAACTTCAGTGGGCTAGTAGTTGAATTCTATGTTACCACTTAGGGTAGAAGCCATTTCAGAAAAATATCCAAGGTAGCATTACTGTTTCCAGATTTCAAACAGGTTTACCCCTAAATTCTTTTTACATTATTAAGTCATTCAAATGTGGAAAAAATGGTACAGTTTGGTTGCTATGGTTGTGGTGCTGATCCTGGGGATGAATCTAGGGCCTTTCATATAGGTGAAGGTATCGGTTGTCCTACCTCTGTAGGTGAGACCCAATAGCAGGTGTTTTTTGTTTGTTTGTTTGTTTTGAAAGATGAATGCTCAATCAGCCTGCCCAGGGATGACCAACCACAAGATAGGTCACATATGAGCCCCTGCTGGGAAAGTCACACCCTCAGGGGTCCTAGCGCCTGGGGTACCCGAGGAACTCACATACCAGGCCTGACCGGGGTTTTGGTGGGATGCGTCCCTGGTGGCCTGGCGGTCTGCAGTCGGCCAAACCTGCGGTCGCCTGTATCCCTGCGCTCACAGCGTTGAGGCAGCAGCTCCAGGGGTCTTGGCGGGTACAGGTCCGACTCGATCACCACCTGCAGGGCACAAGGAACACAGTGAGTCATCCTCCCCTGAGTCCCCCAGTGCTGGGGCTGCCCCGCACCCACCTCATGTGCACAAGGGAACTGTAAGGAGCCTGGATCAGGGTGGTAGGAAGTGAATTTTCATTGAGTGGAGATCGCAGAAACTCAGAAGGGAGGGCTAAAAGCTAAGGTGGTTTCATTACTATCGCCTGCTAGTAGTGCTCAGCCACAAATGGTACATCAATAACCTGACCATCAGGGGCCATTGAGGAACTCACAGCAGCTGTGGTTACTCGCACAAGATCAAGCGAATCCACATTCCAACACGAGGGAGGAGGGGGATCATGAGCCCCCACCCCAAGCTGAAAAGCTATTGACAGTTGGTGGCTTCTCTGGAAGGGAGTTTCTCTTCAATGGTGTCACCTCTGGAAGGTCAACCATTCTTCGATGGATGGCCTCACCCCCAGAAGCAGATAAGACAGCATGGGGGGGGGGGATGTGGGAGGAGTGATGAAGAGGAGTGGTAGTAGATATGATCAAAATACATGGCGTGAGAAGTGTTAATAAAAGATTATATTTGCCTATGCAGAAAGAGGGCAGAGATGGTAAGAGCCAGAGGTGGTGGGTGACTGTAAGGCCACAGCCTTCTAGATGAAATAGGGAAGGCACACATATGGGTTTGCAGGATGCTGTAGCATGCAGAAGCTCAAGACAGACATAACCCAGCATGGAGGAAGGACTGTGGGCATGAAGTCCCACCCCTTGCCCAGAAGCTATTCGCAGCTGACAGCCATGAGGAGAGGAAAACTCAGTTTTTCTTCAACGGAGTGACACTGGGTGTATCAGCCACACTCCAGGGCAGGTGCCAACACAGATCTGACCCCATGATGGGTTGTTGGTTCTGTTTGTGTTAAAGAGAGGGAAGGAACTTGAAGTTGGGTGGGATTGGAAGGATCTGGGGGAGAGGGGAAGCTGGAGGGAGGGAGAAGATAAGATCAAACTATTGTACGACGTTCTTAATGGTTCTGCTTTAAAAGCCACCTGCCACTACACTGTGCACAGAGGTCGCTCTTCATCCCCTAGCTGACAGCACGCAGCAGCAGTGACAGCATTGCATTCTCTTTAGGCAGTGTGTGACCTGGAGAAGAGAGAGTGTCGCGAGTGTGTGTACGGACTGAATGCACAGGCTGTGCCATTTACACAGGGAACATGAGCCTGTGAAGGCTGGTATCTGTGGATGTCTTGGAACCAATCCCCGAGGGTACTGAGGGACAGCTGGACTTAAATCACTGAGAAAATTCAAAAACGTAAACCCAGGAGACAAATAATAGCCACCATTTTATCTTAACACGGGGAGTCGTGAAGGGAATCTTGGCAGCCAGGGAGCAGATTCTGCATATTTTATCCCTCTGCAGGACACAGAGTCATTCATGCTGATTGTCCTTACTCCATGAGTCTCATTCATTAGATGCTGCCGTATTCCATAACACTGCAGCCTCCCCAAGGCTTGCACTGCCCCCGCCACTTCCTTCTGGGCACAGCTGCCCTGCAAGGGCCCATTCTGTGTCCACTCTGGGCTCCCGTGCATCTGCGAGTCAGGAGGATGGGCTCAGTCCTGATGGCCTAGCTTTTGGCAGACCTGCTTCAGTTGACTACACAGAACTACAGTGCTGGTGTTGGGGGATTCCAGAGCAGAAATAAATGGGCTTTTAAAGACATGATAACAGAGTGGTGTTTCAAGTCAGTGGAGGACACTGTATCTTTAATGATACGGTTGGAATATAAATATCAGGTCACCACGGGAAAGTGTCTCTATTTGGTTTGGGTGATAAGTCAGGTCAAAGTTGTGTGTTGAACAACAAACACTAAAACAGACTATAGCTTAATATGACACACAGCATTACATATGTTCATAAGACTCTTTACCACATGATAAAATTGAAAAAACAATAGAAAAATGGAGGGAAAATATGAGCAAACCCCACAAATTTGCTGAACACTAGTGACTAAATGCATATTAAAATAATAAAATCTCCGTCTCCTATCAGATTACCAATGAAGAACAAGATAACTCCATTTGGGCTCCGGTCAGCCTGAGTTCCAGCTCCAGATACTTTATTTTTAATAAGGTCACGTGGTCTAGGCTAGCCTCCAACTTGCTATGTAGCCGAAGGATGTCTTTGAACTTCTGACCTTCCTGCCTCCACCTGCAGAATGCTGTGAATACACCAAGCTGGGGTTCAAACCCAGAGCTGCATGCATGGTAAGCAAACATTCAACCAACTCAGCCACGTTCTAAGACCTTAAGGCCCAGTTTTGACACTCAGTAATTGAGCAGAGTAGGGATATTCATGCTCACCCTTGCTGGACTAACAGAATCAATGCCTGTTATTAGCAAAGATCCCTGATGTCTTCAGGGCACACATTCACCTGTCTGATTTGTAAGTATGTTGAAGTGTTCTGAAGACCTAATCTTCATTTCTCCCACAGAGGACCAGAAGAGAAGCCATCACTCTTTCTTTCAATTTACCACAAAGAGCCCTTTGCCTAGAAATTGAAGATCACACATTTGGTCTTAAATTGGGTAGGACATTCACTCTTCTCTGATCCATTTAGGAACCAGTCGCATCTTTGGGGAAAACTGGGGGTTATTCTGAGCATTTGGGATCATCACTGGCCTGACAATCCTTGCCTTTTCCTGCTCTGGGCATTTCAGAAATGGTAACTTACTTGGTTCCCTGCAAGACTTTGAGGAAGGCTGAGAAAAGTTCGTGTGTGTGTGTGTGTGTTTGTATGTGTGTATGTGTGTGTGCGTGTGTGTGTTTGCACGTGTGTGTTTGCACGTGTGTGTGTGTTTGCACGTGTGTGTATGTGTGTTTGTATGTGTGTATGTGTATGTGTGTGTGTGCGCGTGTGTGTGTTTGCACGCGCGCTACTTTCCGAGTCATCACTTAGGGTTACCTATTTCCTTAGTGTACATTCCACAGTACCCCAAAGTGTGACAAGAGCTGGCTGCTGAGCCCCTGGCTTGTTTTCCTGTCTGTAGAACTTACTGCCAGTATCTGTAGAGCAAAGCAGTCTGTGAGCATGTCCTTAGCATCCTGAGTTTAGAGCTAAGACCTGAGAAGTGGGGCGGGAGCATGAGATGTTAATTGGGCAGAGGAGGGAAAACAAGAATTTGGTGATGGTTTTTCCTGTCCTAGGCTAAGATCACACTGTCTACCAAAGTGTTAACTTATCACATTTCTGGGAAGTCCATTCCCTGACACCTCAAGCCCCTGTTGTTTGCCAGCTGGGAGGTCAGATGAATTAGACAGCTGAGACCTAGATGGTGGGACACAATCGTGGTTTGGGGCAGAAGGAATCTATAGAAATGTTCAAGCAGACTCTAAAATTTTACACACAGGGAAATTAAGGTCAAAGGGAGCTTTGTGTCTTTCTTAAGGTCATAGAGCTGCCCTTATAGAACCAGAGAGTACCACAGTTTCATGGCTCCTGAGTAAAAGCTCTCTGTAAAACCGCAGAAGCACCTATACCCAGCTGGGAATTTTCAAGTACAATCGAATGCTTTGTGAATACGCCAGGAGATTCTACACAGATGTCCCCACCAAGCATCAAATTTGGGGACAAAGTGATATTTCCAATCCTGTTTCTCTGTCTTTCCTCTCGCCAGCTCCCCTGCTTATTATCAAAGGGCTCCATTATCTTGGGATGCTTAACAGATCCATGCCTTGTGTGGGTGCAGTCTCTTGAGAGATTTCTATGACATTCACAGGCATCGGGATGATTAGGACGTCAATAAAACAGACTGGGAATCAGAAAAGGAGAGAAAAAGGAGAGGGAGGGAGAGAAAGCACTCCCGAGAAGGGGGATGTGCCTTCGCATTTGGAAGAAAACGCCGCTCACGTGGAGTCCCAGAGGAAGCAACTTGGGCCCTGAGGATGAGTCAGAGAGGAAAGCGGTATTCTTGGAGGAGGAAGGAAATGCATTTCCATCCACATGGCGGCCCGAGGAGCGACAGGAGATGCAAATGAACTCTGTCAATCTGTCAGTGTTGGTGTCCGTGCACAGTAGGGTGGGACTTCCTGTGGTACTTTCAGGATGCCACACTGGAGAACTGGACAGAAGCCCCACGCCCCCTCCTCACGTCACCAAGACAAGGATTTCAGTCTTGAGTTGTCCTGTCTAGCCTGGCCTGTGTGTTCTGTAGCCTGAGCTTTGTAAACAGACGGGGAGCTGGGCAGCTATTGGCCAAGGCTGAATCACCCTCAATGAAGTTTCCTGACTGAATTATCTGTGAACAATCCTTCCCTTCCATCTCCATCATGAACTGAGTTGTTAGTTCTCAGGGATTATGAGTGAGGTCAGGATCTCATGACTCACAACCTTCCTCCTTCCTAATATAGCAAAGGCTTCCAAAAGCCCTTATAAAAAGATATTCCCTGGGCTGGAGAGATGGCTCAGTGGTTAAGAACACGGAGTAATTTCCAGAGGACCCAGGTTCAATTCCCAGTACCCACATGGCAGCTCACAACTGTCTGTAACTCCAGTCCAGGCAACCCAACACCCATGGTAAAATACCAAGGCACATAAAATAAAAATAAATAAATTTAAAAAAGATATACAACTGACATAAAAGCAGGCAAAGGAGATGAATAAAGAACCCACAGGAAAAATATTGAATGGTCAATAAATCTATGAAAGAAATGAAGAACTACACTAAAATGGAAGAAATGCAAAATAAAATAATAAGGCGTTTCCATCTATCAGCCTGGGAAAGCGTTAACAACAGGAATATCCTGCGGTATTGGCATGGCGTTCTAGAAAAGAGGTTGTTGAAGGACTTTGGCAATGACTACAAAAGCCTTCTAATCCTCCCGACCAGTCTCTTCACATCTACAAATTTATCCTCAAAGACGTATAAGAATAAACATATAAGAACATAATGATATCCACAAGAACCTTCTGTGGGGCCTCATCTTAATAGAAATCGTGGAGAAACTCTATTTATTGGTGACTTTGGATAATGAATTTAAAAATTCCAGATTTGACTTGGGTAAATAAAAACTAATAATTCATATATTGGAATGTTATGTAGCCATTGACAAGGATATATATATATATATATATATATATATATATATATATATATATATCTCACAGATACTCACAAATTTTTGTCATGGAAAGATTCTCAAGATCTATTGTTAACTGAATAAAAGCAATTCACAAAAATAATCCATTGTCAGACAATAAGCATAATTATCTTATAGTATATGGACATTTTTCACTTAAAAACACACCAATGGCTGGTTTGGTGGCCTGAATAGAAATGGCCCTCATTGATTCATGTGTTTGAATGCTTGTCCTGTAGTGAGGTGTGACCTTGTTGGAGTACGTGTGGCCTTGTTGGAGGGTGGGTTTTGAGGTCTTATATGCTTAGGCTAGGCCTAGTATGGTAGCCCCCTTCTGCTGCCTGAAGATCAAAATGTAGAACTCTCAGCTTCTTCTCCAGCACCATGTCTGCCTGCACGCTGCCATGCTCCCTGCTATGATGATAATGGACTAAACCTCTGAAATTGTAAGCCAGCCCCAGTTACATGTTTTCCTTTATGAGAGTTGTCATGGTCATGGTGTCTCTTCACAGCAATAAAACCCTAAGACAGCTGGATATGGTAATATACACCTTTAATTCAGCACTTGGCAGGCAGAGGTAGGTGGATTTTCCTCTTGCCAACTTTCCTACTTATTACCAAAGGCTCCTTATCCTGGAAAGTTTAACAGACCCACTCCTTGTGTGGGCGACTTCTCTTAAGCTACTTCTATTATATCCATGTGCATCACCTAAAGGTTGCAACTTCAAGGTCATCCTGGTCTACATAGAGAGTTCCATGCCAGTCAGAACTACATACTGAGACCCTATCTCAACGAAATAAAACAAACCCAAATAAAAAAATGCATACCTACATTTATTGAATGTTTGATATGTGATGATCTGTAAACTAGACACTTGCTGTGTGTTCTTTGTCCCTTCTCCTTGAGATACATGTTTGTTTCAACCTCATCCTAAAGGTAAGGAAGCAGAGTTCTAGGGCAGTTGGGCAACTGACTCAAACAAAGAGAAGTTGATGGAGCTGGGGTTTGCACATAGGCAATTTGACTACAAACTTTTTGCATTTTCTACTCTATTGTATAGCGTCTCAGAATTCTGTGATGCTGAATTGGGGATCGCTGCAGGGTTTGAGGTTTTGTAATGATTTGGAATTGGAGTATAAGAAAGCTGTAGTAGGCAATGCTCTTGTTACCGCCTGGCCTCTCTGCCCTGTTGAGGGTGATCAATGTTCCTGTGTTCTTTAAAAGAAAATATAAAGAATGTTTATCAGAACAACAAATAAACCCTTTTTAATTAAAAAAAAAATTTAGAAGAGAGAAAAGATTTTTTTAAATTACAATACCTAAAAAATCCTTAACAGTACTGTGTAAAATTTATGATAACAACTCCACGTCATCAAGAGGAACCAATCAGTCCTCCTTTTGCAATACAGCGCAGACATTGATAGTTCTGACATAAGGAGATGTGTGTGCGCGGTGAGAAGCCATAGCATCCTTAGCCTCTAAGAGTGTGCAAACAACCCTAATGCATTAAAAATTCCAAAGCACAATTCAAAATTCAAAGCGAGGCTGCAGGAAAAGGACAGTGCAAGGCTGGAAACCCCTGAATTGTTCAGAATTCCTGGCATTGCCAGACAAATCTGTAAGTAAACCCAATTTCTTAAAAAGCCATGCCTGTGATCTCAGCATTTGGGAGGTTGAGGCAAGAATATTTCATGTTTCTGGCTAGCTAGGGCTGCGTGGTGGGCTTGCAGACAGACTGAACTGCATGAGGACTCTCAAGCAAGCAAGCAAGCAAGCAAGCAACAAAATTACTCTCAGATTCTGTACATCCACCACAGCTTCTCTGACATACCAGAAATGCCAGTACCTGAGGCATGGATGGGTGGGTGGATGAATGAGCTGTTCTCACTCTGTTACCTGTTCATTCTGCTAGGAAACCTACACCATAAGGAATTGTACCAGTGATTCACTGCTATCTATAATGGTGAGAAAAAGTTACATTACAAATGTGCAGACCAGGCTGCTACAGCCGCATTATGAACTCTGCACACACAGAGTAGGTCTCCCCTGCACCCGGGGAAAATGGCAAAATGAGGAGTCTCTCGGGGGACTCTTTGGTGTATGGTTGGTATTTGCCAGCTATTATGGATAAATGGACAAACAACCACGTGAGACACTCTTGCCTTCTCATCCTTGAGAGCAGGCGAGAGAGCAGGAGTCAAGAAGCCACCGTTGTTTTTGTACTGAAAGTCAGTCAAAGAGGATCAAAACTAAATAGAATTTCTTACGTTTTTGGTCAAGAGATGCTGAGAGCTTTTGACTCTTCTTCTGGATGGACTGGACACTGAAAGAGATAAAGAAATGGTCTTAGAAGATGCTACGGTACAGACCTGAGAATGTTTGGTCCTGGTTGGGGGGGGGGCTACTGGGAAGGGATTGGGAAGAAAAAGCTTGAGTCCCACTGCAATTTAAGATGTCACTCAGCTTGACTACAACAAAATTTCTATAGCATCATTTGCAATAGCTAAAGGTTGCTAAGAACCCAGTGCCCATCAACAGATGAATGGATAAATATGGTATACCCACACACTGGAACACTGCTCAGCCTTGAAAAGTAAAGGGAGCATGCGTAAACCTTTTAAGAGATGGGGCCAGGTTAAATGAGACAAAAGAAGAGATATTCCATGAATGACTCTACCTATGTGAGTATATAGGGCAGTTGACATCATAAACAGATGCAAAACAGAATGATCATTCCCAGGACCTGGGAGGCTGGAGGAGTGGGGCATTATTGTTATTAGCATAGAGTTTCTGTTTGGGCCAATGAAAAAGTCAGGAGATGGACAGGGGCTGTGGTGTGCAGCACAATGAAGGTACACGCCAGTGATCTGTACATCTGGTGTGGGTAAATGGTAACTTGTACTCTGTGCGTGTGTGTGTGTGTGTGTGTGTGTGTGTGTGTGTGTGTGTGTCTGTCTGTGTATGCATGTATGTGTATGTGAGTGTGTGAATACCACAACTTAAAATCTTCTTAGTAGGAAAGGTAGCTTAGTTGCTAGCATGCTTGCTTGCGATGCATGCAGTTCTGGAGTTGACCCTCAGGACCACATGAAACCTGGTGTGTTGGTTTACATCTGTAATCTCAGAATTTGGGAAGTGGAGACAGGAGGAGGATAAGGAGTTCAAAGGCATCCTTGGGTACATAGTGAATTCTAGCTAGCCTGGGTTAACAGAAGAACCCTATCTGGAAAAAAATTTAAATCAGTTAGCTATTAAAAAGTTACAGTGCTTTGCTGGGCCGTGGTGTGGATCTTATTATAGTAACAGCCACTGTCCTCAGCTCTGGTAATTAGAATTTCATTTCCTGAAGCTGACCACTTGAGATTCCTCACATCAGGGGAACATATCTGTAATGTTTGATCTTGTATGTTTTATGTCACCCTATGCCCAGTCATATCTATGTCTACCTTTTATATCGCTATGATCTACTGCGACCCAAATCCTGCTTTGTCTCTATCCTGGTTGACTTCTCAACACATATCAAATCAGTGGCATAAGAGTGCCGTCCTTCCTCCTGAAACTGGAGCTTCTGTAAAGCAAAAGACACAGTCAACAAGACATAATGGTAGCCTACAGATGGGAAAATGTCTACACCAACCCCACATCGGACAGAGGGCTGATCTCCAAAGTAGGCAAGGAACTCAAGAAACTGGTCATCAAAAGAACAAATAATCCAATAAAGATATGGGGTACAGACCTAAACAGAGGACTCTCAACAGATGAATCTAAAATGGCTGAAAGACACTTAAACAAATGCTCAACGTCCTTAGCCATCGGAGAAATGCAAATCAAAACAACTTTGAGATAGCCTTTTACACCTGTAAGAATGGCCAAGATCAAAAACACTGATGACAGCTTATGTTGGAGAGGTTGTGGGGTAAAGGGAACACACCTCCATTACTGGTGGGAGTGCAAACTGGTAAGTCACTTTGGATATCAGTATGGCAACTTCTCAGAAAATTAGGAAAGAACCTACCTCAAGACCCAGCAATACGATTTTTGGCTATATACCCAAAGGATTCTCAGTCATACCACAAGGACATGTGCTCAACTATGTTTATAGTAGCTTTGTTTGTCATAGCCAGAACCTGAAAACAGCCTAAATGCCCCTTGACCGAAGAATGGATAAGGAAAATGTGGTACATTTACACAATGGGGTACTACACAGCAGAAAAACAAATAACATCTTTGAAATTTGCAGGCAAATGGATGGAGCTAGAAAACATCATGTTGAGTGAGGCAACCCAGATACAATAAGAAAATATCACATGTACTCACTCATAAGTGGCTTTTAGACATAAAGAAAGAAAACCAGCCTACAATTCACAATCCCAGAGAACCTAGACAACAATGAGGACCCTAAGAGAGATTTACATGGATCTACATGGGAAGGAGAAAAAGACAAAATCTCCTGAGTAAATTGGGAGCACTGGGATCTTGGGAGAGGGTAGAAAGGGAGGGAGCAGAGAAAAATATATAGCTCAATTTAAAAAATAAAAAAGAGAGCTGCCCCTGTTATTTTCTGCAAAGTCCTCGTAGTCATGAAGCCTGGAGTTCAACATGCTGACTGATACACTGACTGACAGCCAGGGACTCCAACTTCCTCCAGCTGCTTGTGAACATGAACCTGACAGGCTATTTTCTCACTCTCTCAAAGCCTCCCTTTCTTCATGTGACAGACAGGAATAATAGTGGCACTTAAGTAGAAGGTTATGTCAAGGGGTAAAGGAACCAGCCTTCATGAAGCCCTTGCCCAGAACCTGGCAAAGAGCAAGCACCCAGGAAATAGTGTGGTCCAAGAACTTTTCTGCCAGATGAAGGCAGGAGGAAGAGAAGGTAATGATGGCTGCTCCTGCTTCAGCGGGGAACTTCTCGCTGTCTATCTCACTGCCCTCTGCTGTTCCCTGGCTCCCCAACCCTTCTCTGGGGTGCTTGTAGGAAGTAAGTTCTGGTGCAACATCTGAGTGGAATACAGCTTCCATCTTTAGAAGTCACCATGAGCTATGTCTACAACACACATTTCCTGAAAGGGCTCTTTCTCTCTAGAATAGAAGAGGACACACACAGTCTCAGCTACAGAGTTGGCTATGGTCTGTTTTAAGATACGTTAGAAACGGGGCTGGAGAGATGGCTCAGGGGTTAAGAGCACTGACTGCTCTTCCAGAGGACCCAAGTTTAGCTCCTTGAACCCATATGTCGGCTCACAACTGTATGTAACTCAACTTTCAGGGGACCTGAAACTTCCTATGGCAAAACGCTAATGCACATTAAAACAAATACATTAAAAGTACCATAATGTTACAAGGTAGTAAGACAGCTCCATTGAACAGTGTAACTATCAGCCTGATCCCAACACACATACATTGGAAAGAGAAGTAGCAAACAGTTATGATTATGGCTCAAGTTGAGCCTGATGGTGATGGCCGGTCACCCTCATCTCTACTCTGGGTTGTCATGCAGCATGGGTCCCACGGCATCATGAGTCTCTAGGGATACAACATTCACTCAATTCATCAAAGAGTGGAGGCCACACTGTGAGTGTGTGTGTGTGTGTGTGTGTGTGCATGTGGTGTGATTTATGTACTTGTTAGAGTGTGTATGTATGTGTGTTGCAGTGCATCTACCCATTAGTGTGTTATGTATGTGTGTATATTGTGGAATATGTACTTTTTAGTGTGTGTTATGGTGTATGTACTTGTTAATGTGTGTGTCCATGTGAGTTGTGGAGTATGCACTTGTTAGTGTGTTTGTACATGTGTCATGGTATGTGTACCTGTGTGCTGTGCGTGTGCTTGCCGGGGGCAGAGGTTGACACTGAATGGCTTTTCTTCATTGGTTTCTATATTTTATTGTTTAGTTTGAGATGGGTCTCTCATTGAACTCATCATTCGATAGCTCATCAATTTGGCTAACCCGGCTGCTGACGAGCTGCAAGGATCTACTGGACTCTACCCTCCTGAGTTATAGCCAGGTGCCACTTGCCCAGCTTTTTACCTGGTTCTGAAGGTCTGGACTCAGTTCCTTGTGTTTGTGCGAAGACACTTTGCTGATTGAGCCCAGCCTCCACAATCTTTTTGAGATAGGGTTTTACGTTTAACCCAGGCTTGCCTGGAGATCACGATTCTCCTATCTCAACCTCTCAAGTGCTGGGACCACAGATTGCACCCCCACAGCAGGTTTAGGGCTCTTGCTCCTAACCTAGGCTGTCTAGGCTCTGCTATCTGCATTGCTGAGCCTGTTCAGGGGAGATTTGTTGTTCATTGGTGCCCACGGATCCTGCATAGCCTCTGGGAAATGGCCCACTCAGGGGACTCAGACCTTGTTAGACGAAGTTGAGTAAACTGGTCTTTCTGCAGCTCTGGAGGCAACCTAGGGCAAGAGTTATTGGTTGATTCCATATGCAGTGACTCAGAACTGAGAGCATCAGCTCCTCTCCATGGGAGCCTTCTGCTGGAAGGCTCTCAGGAGGCCCCAGGGTAAAGCGAGGCATAGAAAGAGACGTCTCCACCCTCCAAAAGCTGCAAATAATCCTTTCTAGAAAATTAGTCCCTAGCAGTGAAGAGTCTATGAATACTTAGTTTAAGGCACAATGATGGATGAAGACAGAAAGAATACAGGACCAAACTTTTATCTTTGGTGAGCATATTCATGGCCACACATACAAGCTGAAAACATAAATCACTTTGTGTGCGATATGTTTGATGCTGAGCGATCAAGCCCATTCCATTGCAGTAGCTCCGTGTATCAATCCATTTATTCTCCATGATAACGTTGGAAGCTAAATTTTGTTTATCTTTTACAGAAGTGGGAACTCATGCATGAAGGAGTTAAGTAGCTGGTCCAAGGTCACAGAGCACAGAAACGGCAGAAATCTCATAGCCGCTTTATCGAGGACGCTTTCTTCTTACTTTTTAGATGACAAGAAATAGATATACTTGTTCTTCTCCTTTGGGGACAATGCGCTGCTCTATGCTACAGTTGGCCTTGGTCCTGAGATCCTCAGGCCTCAGCTTGGACGACAGACATGAGCTACCCTTCTCAGTGAAAACAGACATACTAGGATGTTTGCTTCCCAAGGATTAGCAATGAGATCTTACACCCTTTTCACCTTGTCTATGTCTCCTTCCATCCTTCTCCGGGGCCACGGAGCTCACTGGGTTTTTGTTTTTTGTTTTTTTTTTTAAATCACATATGGCCCTTTCTAGTCTTTTTTGCATACTTTGCCCCCCAAATATGTCCATAAACACTCTGCAGAATTGTCTATGGTTCCAAGTATGCTATTGAGCATAGATAAATTTTCAGCTTTTTCTTCTTTCCCACTCAGTATGTATCCACAGGACTTGTGGGACAGTTCAGTGGTTCAGGACTTGCTTCCCATTTATGTGCTCCTGGTTCATCAGAGGCAACGTAACCCTCTACCCCTCCAGAAAAGAAACCGCACAGAAACAAATGCAGAGATAAAATTAATGGAAAGGTCATTTCTATTCACACAGATCTAGCTGGTTCCTCTTTAGACAGGTTGGCTTTCAGACTCTCCAGAGAAAATTTCACCTCCTACACATGGGCATTCTCCCAACTCCTCTTCTTCCCTTCCCCTCCCACTGTAGTAGATGTCAAGATCTCAATTTATTTTCAGCTGTCTGTCTAGGTCCAGACTGAGTCTCGCCTTCCCCCCCATCCCCAGCAAGCCCCTTGTCTGTGGCTGACATCAGAGGGGAGGGAGAGAAGAATTGTTTGAATGTGGGCTTAGGGTACCAACAAACACCCAGACCGTCTCATCGCAGCGTCACAGTGACACAGGGGTGAGCCTGTGCCCCAGCAAGCCAAAGGGCTTCAGGGTCAGAACAATGTCAAGGCAGAGGGGCTCTGTCCTGGGTCACCAGCGTTCCCCTGGAAGACAGTCTCGCAAAGTCCTTCCCAGGGTTTTGCACCAATTGCCAGGAGCCAGGGCTTATAAAACCAAGGTTCTGAGGTGTTGCCTTTGGTGGTACCGAGTGAGGTGATTCTGGGCTTCTGTGGAGAAGTCAGCCTGGAGTCAGAGCTCAGTTTCATTGCCTTTCTGGGTGTCAGGCCACTGGGAAGCTTTCCTCCTCCCAAGTCAGACAGAGTTGGCCTTGGGACAGCTGATTCTCCTTTCAGAACCTGCTTTCTCACCGCAGACAATGCAAAAGCCTGTCGGCTACCCTGGAAATTATGTTTCCATCTCTGTCTGCTTAACAATCACTTGCTGTCCCTGTCACCGAGCCGGCTGGGTTGCCCGTGTTGGAATAAGTGAAGCAGGAACCGCTACACTGCTCTCATCCCTGTCTTGATAGACTGTTTCCCTATGATTGATGTTTATCCTTGTACCCCCTTTTCAGAATCAGAAAGGGGGAGATAATCGAAAGTCATCAAAACGGAGAAGCCAGCAGACCTCAGGACCCCTGGGTGCCACGCACCAGTGTACCTTAGTCCAACAGCAATCAGTCACCTCCCGCCTGAGATGCCACAGTAGGGGACTCCAAGGGCGATCGTTACTCACCCTTGGACGGAATCACGGTGGTGAAAACTTCAATATTCTCATCACTGCAGCTGTAGATCTGATGCATGGTGTCAGCCTCCTGCCCTGCAGGGTGTCCGGCAGCCGGTGGCCTCTCTCGGGAGCCCTAGTCCCAGGGTTTCCTAAGCCACTCTGGTTCTGGGATCATTGTGCAGGTCCACAAAAGACTGATTGCCTGTGCCTCTCACGACAGGCTCCACCGCAACATTTCCTAATCCCATCTGTCTTTTTTTTTTTTTTTAAACGAATCCTATTATTGCAAACCTTTGATTGAAACGCGAAGGCTTCCGTCTCCCCCAGCTAGGATGTACTTAACATTTTTATTTTGCAGAGCCTGCTGCAGTGAATTTGGGAGTCTTTTGTGAAGTGACGAAGTAAAATCGCCTACTCGGTTAGCGCCCAGCTTGGCTGAAGGAAACGCCAGTTTTGCTATCAGTCATGCCCGGGTCTCATTCCAAAAAGGAAGGACTTTTTTTTTCCCTCCAGGGGAACTGGATCTTCATTTGTCATGTGTTAATTTGGCTCCCTTTAAAGTTTCTATTTTAGACAAAAGGACTGTTTTCCACCACAGATCTGCTTCAGTCCCTTGCGACAAGGCTTACATTTCTGGAGGTGAGTGTTTAGTGTTTATTTGTACAACCCTACAGGTGTGCACAGCCATGCAACAGACAGTGCACACTCTCAAGGACCCATTTATAGGATAGCTATATTTTTATTATTTTTCTGTATTTGAATGTATTTCTTACCTTATCTTTCTATGCTATATATCCTAAGAATATGCTATATTTTTCCCACATATATATATACACACACAAACAAATGTCATAGTTGATATACATTTCATAAAAATATGTAAGCATATAAGAATATGCTATATTTTTCCCATATATTTGTATATATATATATATATATATATATATATACAAGCAAATGCCATGGTTGATATACATTTCATGAAAATATGTAAGCATATACATTTTATCCAATCCCACTACCTTTTATTATTCTGTGACCTCACAATACTATTTTTAACTTCATAATACTGTTGGGATATAATGATATTAACAACGACAGCTGCCATATTAAATATTGTTACAAGCCAGGCAGCTTACCATATGATCTCACTGAATATCCATAACTAACCAGTAGTTCTAGCTATGTATTGCTTTAACATGAACTGAAGTATGAAGACTGGCTTTTCTGGTGATTAAAATAGCTAATTTGTGCCAAAAATAGGATTTAATCCCTAGATTGATTGAAAAGTTAAGGGCAATAACTTCTCACATTCTCATTCTCTCTCTCTCTCTCTCTCTCTCTCTCTCTCTCTCTGTGTGTGTGTGTGTGTGTGTGTGTGTGTGTTGTGTTTTGTGTGTGTGTGTATGTGTGTATCTCATGCTATAGCCCAGGTTGGCCCTGAACTCATAGCCTGCCCAGTGTAGGGATTACAGGTATGCACAACTTTATTCTATTTTTATAAGCATTTTTTAATTTAGTGTATGAATATTTTGCCTGTATAGGACATTAGATCCCTTGAACTGGAATTACAGATGGTTGTGAGTCGCCATGTGGGTGCTGGGAATCAAACCCTGGTCCTCTAGAAGAGTAGCTGGTGCTCTTAACCACTGAACCATCTCTCCAGATGCTTCGTGCTCTATTCTGTAATCTCAGGACTCACCCTTCTTCGACCTTGGCTGAACCTAGTTCACTTTAGACATGGAGTTGTGTCCACTGTTATTTCCATGTTGACACACTTGGAGCATTTGTCTCCTAGGTAGTTTTCAGCACTTCAGCTCTTTCTCTGAGAACTGCACCTCTCATTGAGGGTGCCTCTGGGTGGCCATGCTTGCTCAGCCTGGATTTACCTCTATGGCCACATTTGATGGAGCCAAGGTGAATGGCTAATCCCATCTGCTGCCTCCTGAGTAACTGCAATGGGGCCTTGGCCTGGGGCCAGAAGAAAGGTGTAAACTCCAATACCAGAGGTATGATCTGGGCCTGTAAATCCCAATCCCAATAGTAGAGACTAGGGCGGGAGGATTACAGCATGGGTAATATAGAGTTTAAGGCCAGGATGAGCTACATAGGCAGACCTTGTCTCAAAGACAGAGTGAAACACTAGAAACTGAGATGGGGCCATCATGATGATGCAGAGGGGAAAATGCTCGCTGTGCAAATCTGGGGCCCTGAGTTCAGTGCCCAGGTCCCACAGTGAAGAACGATAACTAACTCCTGAAGTTGTTCTCTGACCTCCACATGATACATGCATCCACACTCTCTCACACAACAACAATAATAAAATAACAGTAATGGCGACTGGAAGGAGCCTGGGCTCTAAATGTAAACATGGAGGAAAGAGTTTTAACTGAGGAGGGCAAGCATTTACACCAAGACCCGTACTTGTGTATGTGGTCGTGCACACACTCACTGAGGGCCAGCGTAGGAGGCAGCCAGCTGGGAGTGAGGCAGAGCGGGGTGGGGGTGGGGTGAGGGCTGAGGTGGAGAATAAAGAAGCAGAGGTGAGACAAGAACAAACATCGCCTGCTTACGTCTTTCCTCTGGGCCCAGCGTCTGTCTTCTCTTGGGCTTGGAAAGATACCCAGTCTTCACAAGGCAGCTTTCTTTTGATGAATAAGGATAAGTAGGCTTCAGTCATTTCAGCTGAAAAGCTGACTGTTGGAAAGACTTGTTGGTCTGTATTGTGCATACATCTTATGACCTTTGCAGTAAATAAAACTTCAGATACTGTCAAACTTAGAGGGCATAGAATAAAAGATGCAGAATTACATTAATGAATTTGAATGGTCAACTGGAACCCACTAGATGGAATTTGGCAAAAAAAAAAAAAAAAAACAAAAAAAAACATAAATATCTGGCCTTGAATTTGTAAAACTAGCCAATCCTGATTTGGTAGTGATTTACTGGTGAGCAATCTGAGTTTTTGAAAATAAACCATAAGCATAATAAGTAGCAATATTAAAGTGTCGGCACTAAAATCCACAGACGAAGACCTGGGGGCCCATCATTAATTAAAATTAAGAACTTGAGGCTGGAGAGGTTGCTCAGTGGTTGGTGATTAAGGGTGTGTGCTGCTCTTGCAGAGGACTAGAGTTCAGGTACCAGCATAGATAGGGTTTCCCAGCTGCCTATAGCTCTAGTTCCAGGGGATCTGGTGCCTTCTTTTAACGTCTGAGGGCAACTGCAAGCACATATGCATATGTGTGTGTGTATGTGTGTGTGTATGTGTGTGTATGTGTGTGTGTGTGTGTGCACGCGTGCGCGCACACACAGAGCAAATCTTTACATATTAAGACCTTTGGGGGATTATACTAGATCTAATTCCAAGGGATGGAAATTGGATTATATATTATCCAAGAAAAGCCAAACTTAATCAATTAGAGTATCTTGTGTTGTACCTCATTAAAGAGCCTGAAATATGGGAAGTAAATGGGCTGATGCAGGGTAACACACTCAGAAAACATAGTTCTGAAGAAACCTTTTTTTTGTTTGAGGTATTTTTAACTAATAAGACTAGCATAAGATTGCTATATCAAATACAAACTGTTGATGGGACTACTAAAAAATCAAAGCCCGCTTCCTGTGGCTCAGTTTCACTTCCTGAGAGTGTTCTCTGTATATACTTGTGGGTGTATTAGCAGATTTTCATGCTTATTTATAAGTCTATATTATGAATTTTTAAAAAACAGAAATTGCATTATACTCTCTGCACAAATGTCAGCATTGACAATGCCTGTCCTTTTGGTAGGAGACCTCTGAGTTCTAAGAATTCATGCATCCCTCTCCATAGCTTATTTCTACTTAGGAACAAGTCACGGGGCAATGGTCCCCAGTGCTCTTACAAAAAGCCAGCGGTGGTAAAGACTCGTAATGCCAGCCCTGTAATGCTGGGATGCAATGTGGACGTACATACTGGAAGATCCCGGGACCAGTCAGTCTAGCCTAATCGGTTAGCTCTGGGCAAGAGGGAGATGCTTTCTCAAAGGAAGCTGATGGTAGAGGATGAAGCCGAAGCTGTCTTCTGGCTTGCACACATATCCATATGCACACACACACTTTTATTTAAAAGGAAACTACAACACATTGTATACTTGTGTAAATACCTTTTTAGATGTCCCTGTCTGGCCTCTGTGTCCAGGGCCCAGAATGAAGGATTTCATGGGCCTGGTACTTTACAATCCTTGTGTGGGTGAATGGCTGAGCCACTTTAGAGATGCAAAGGGTATAATCCATATGAGACCGTAAGCATGCATCACGCATATGAATATTAGTGTCAGCCCCTGCTCAGGATGAATCTACACATAGTTAGGCCTTCTCTGGCCTGAGTACCAGCTTCTCCTCCTAAGGCCTAGGAATCACCACTGAGGGGCTTCCTCCATGATTACACAGGGTGCTCACTTAGTGACACACACACACACACACACACACACACACACACACACACACTGTAGTTACTCCCAGGGTAGTCATATCAGGGGAAGGGTTGCTTTCTGAGAAATGCTTGCTCTCTCTATTGGGGAATGGGAGAGACTTCATGGTGTAGTCCCCCTCCTTCCTCTCTTCTCTCCTTAACCTATGATCCAGAGATTTAACTCATCCATCTTGATAGGAGACAGGAGAAACCTTCCTGATGAAACAGCATTTAGGGTGCAACCGAGGCTGGCCTGAGACTCCAGCAGTGTCTGAACCACTTGGAGCACTTCCTAAAATGTGGATTCTGGTCCCAATGGTCTAATGTAGGGTGGTCTTTATCCCAGGTCCCAGGGCACATTTTAGAATCAGGGCAGAAATCATCTAAGGATCTCTCTCTCTCTCTCTCTCTCTCATCTATCTCCCTATCTATATCTATCTATCTATCTATCATCTATCTATCTATCTATCATCTATCTATCTATCATCTATCTATCTATCTATCTATTTATCATCTATCTATCTATCTATCTATCTATCTATCTATCTATCTATCTATCCATCCATCTGTCTATGGAGGCAGGGTCTGCTTGGCCTGGAACTCACTGTGTAGACCAGGCTGGCCTCAAGTTCACAGAAACCTTCTTGCCTCTGCTTCCTAAATGCTGGTTAAAGGTGTTACCACCACATCCAGCACTTGAAGAGTTTGTGACCCTAGTGAGAGGTCAGGTGCTCCTCCTAACTATTAAAACCATGTATAAGATAAATATGCAAAAATAAATCCAGTTATCTATAACCAAGAGATATATTTTAAAATGTTTTGGACCCCAAAATATGCTCGTGTTGAGAGCTCTGGGTGTCCTGTAGTGACTTTCAAATTGTCCCCACACAGAAGCAGCAATGTCTCTGGGGAGCTTGTTAGACATGCAAATTTCTCAGGTCCCTCCTGCCTGACAACTGGAAACTCTGATTTGAGTGGGGGCCAGTGGTCTGCTTGAATGAGCTCTGCAGGGGACA